TGGATCCAACATTATATTCAATCGTATTCAATGCGGTTCCATGAGTCATTCGAATAACATAACCTCACAAAGCGTCGCAAAGCATGCTTAACAACCTTTCGCTACTCTTAAAGATTTCATTTTGACAGATTTGACAGATGCACGCAGATACAATACACATGAGAACTAATGCGAATACTTTTATGGAAACGTACAAAAAATCAGTGAAAATCAGTGAAAATCAGTGAAAATAAAGATCATTAGAAATGGAAGATAAACAAATCGGCGAGGAACAGGTAATTTATACAAATGTTATCGAATGTTATTAGTTTTTGACGTGCTTTTTTGATAAAATGTTTTGTTTTTGTCTGATACATTCAGTTATTTAAATGCGAATGCCGCAAACCAAGATTTTTCAAATCATTGAAGAGTTTAAGGAAACATGAGAAATTGTACCATGAAAAATTCGTAACCAGATATGTATGTCCAATCTCAAAATGTTCTATCGAATGCATTGCGTCTGATGGAATGAAGACTCATTTACGTGATATACACAAAATCACTTTGAGTTTGCCACAAATACAATCACTCAAGCACGATAAACGATAAAAATATATCACCATCGATCACCATTGTTGTGCGTTGTTGTATCACGTTTTTCATAAAATTTGTTGTTTCCCGTTGTTTCTAGTAAAAGAAGCCAAAGCAAAGAAGGATGAAAAACCGAAAGTGATTCGAGAAACATGTATTTGCCCAATATGCTCAAATACATCACGAGGAATAAGCAACTTAAAACGGCATTTGAATGGTATTCATAAAATCGAATTAGAAGATACGAAGAAGAGACAATGTAACGTCAAAACGAACAACATTCCGAAAGAGTTTATTCTTCATCGAACTGAAACGGGCAAATTTGAATTGGTCACTAAGTGCAATTCAAGTAATACCCAGCCATCCAAGCCATCAGAATGTCATCAACAAGAACAAAATATCAATGGATCGAACAGTCAAATGGAACCACAGAGTGGTGAGTACATATTATTTGAAACATATTTCAGTAGACTCATGGATCCATTCCAAAAACAATCACCTATCAATGTTTTCCTTATTAATAGATAATAAAATGGTCGATGATTCGCGTGAAGCTACACATCATTCGTGTGCGGAAGAGAATTCGTTCACAAAAATTCAATATACGTATGACTTATCAATGGGAACTGATAATTTAAGCACCGTATCCAATGAATACATCAATGTCGGGGACGACGGTAGGTTTGAAAAGAGCTTTATATATTTCATTATAAATAGATGAGAATTGGCCTATTTTGCATTTTCATATTAGGTATTGATGCTGATTTGAAAAACAAAAATGTTGTTTCGAATTGTGAAAATCCAGTAGAACTTATACAAAGTAATATTGGGTGTGAAAATTTTTCAATCATAATATTGCCAAATCACGAGAAAGCCATATCAACAGATTACTTATCGGCCGAAGTTAAAGCTGGCGCCAACATGAATGTCAGCCAATTGGATCAAGAAAACCAACAATATGATTTCCCAGTTGGCACATGTTCAAGCGTTATCGATTTTCAAAGCACCGACCCAACGCAAGAATTGGATTTTAATGCTATCAGCAGTGGTTCTCGTCTTCAAAATAATGACAAAATAGACGAATCGTCGTTAAATGATTCGAAGAACACCAGAGAATCAGGTGCTATCATCAATCTTACATTGGAAGATACTTTATCGACATCGATTGATAGTGAATCAATGATCAAAGCACAACAGCAGGCGATTGTGAAAAATGATATTTTGGCAAATCTACAGATCGTCTTAAATGATGAAACTACATTGGCATCAAATTTGGATGAAAAGGAAGCGCCTATTCAAAGAGTTTTGCCAATTGAAACAAGTGTTAATCAGGTTGAAGTCATAAAGCCGATTACGATTGAAGTGATCAAGGAAGTGGGCAAATCATTAAAAAAATTCCTAATCGCCCATGTTGTTTCGGTGAGAAATTCAAATCGACCCAAAACTAACGTTTGGCATTAAGTGGTGGATGTTGTCAGATGTTGTTTTATAAGATTCCTTGAAGATAAGCAAAGATAAGAATGGCATCGTTTCTGTAGTGGTTGTATAAAATACATTTTTAAAATTAAACAATTTTTTTTCAAACATTTTAAAGAGAGTGTTTCAAAATTTACTTTTAACAAGTATTTGATGCACAATATATTAGACGATATTAATTCAATTTTCCAAAATTCGGTTCATGTATTAAACACCAGTTGATCATATTTTTCTCTCTTGTTTCGACTTTTGGAACCAAACCAACGGCCTCTAAAATAGTAAAATCAATTGGGTTTTCGACGATAGATTCACTGACGGGAGCCTTAATTAATTTTTTTCTGTTTTTTTT